GTACCTTGCGACGGGATCGATCACGTGTCCTGTGCTGTGCTGTGCTGTGCTGTGCGACGGGAATAATCACCTGCTTTCCTGTCCATTGCACGTCATCCACCTCCTCCTGTGCTGTGCTGTGCGACGAGGTCGATCACCTGCTGTGCGACAGGACGGGTTGGATCACTTGCTGTGCTGTGGCCCCGTCCTGTCGCACAGCCTTACGGGTACCACCCTGGGATCGATCAACCTGCTATCCTGTGCTGTGCCACGCCATCAACCACCTGCTGTGCTGTGCTGTTCGGTGCTGTGCGACGGCAGCAATGGCGTGCTTCGCTCTGCGACGTGATCGATCAGTTGCTGTGCTGTGCTGTGCTGTGCTGTGGTATGCTATGCGGTGCAGTGGGATGCGACGGGATCCATCCCCTGCTGTGCTGTGCGACGGGATCGGTCACCTGTTGCTCGACGGGCAATTGGCCTTGAGATATCATCCTCTGCTTCAAGTCATTGTTTTTTCCTGTTTCTCTCCGCTTTCGAAAAGAAAAGAAAACAGGGTAAATGCCGTTAACATGATTGCATCCGGCAGATAGTATAGTATTTTGCTCATCTGCTTCGAGTGGAGTTCGAACTCTGGTCGGTATTTCCGGCTCTGCCGTTCCGTCTTTCGAGTGGACTTCGAACTCTTGTCATCCTTCGAGCTCAGTTCCGGGGTGTACCAAGGGGGTCCATCCTTATCGAGTGGAGTTCGAACTCTTGTCATCCTTCGAACTCAGGGCATACTCACACGGGGACCTATAATCCCAAAATCCCCCAAAAAAGGGGAAAAGGCCGGTCGCATGGATCTACAAATTCGCAAATGTACTATTCCAGTGCCCATTTGTCAGCGGCCTGGGAAGCCGCGGGGCAAGGGATTTTGCGGTCACCTCTGGAGGTGACCGCAAATTCCCTTTTTTTTTTTTTGCATTTTCTTCAAAAATTGACAAAAATTCGTTCACAAAAGTTCTTGCACAATGGGTGGATGGTGCCGTGTGACCAGCCAAGTACCAAATCCCCATTTCTCCAGACGGCAGCGACCTTGTCCCATCTGAAAAGGTACAGCAGTGTGACGTGAACCATGCCCAAAACCTCTTTTTTTTTTTTTTTTTTTTCCAAACCCCCAAAACCTCAAACCTGCCCTTCCCAAATCCGCATATTTTGCGGATTTGGGGTCGTCGTGTGAGTATGCCCTCAGTTCTGGGGTGTACCAAGGGGGTCCATCCTTCGATTGGAGTTCGAACTCTGGTCTGTATTTTTCAACAGTTCCGGGGTGCACTGACTGGGCTATCTAGGCCAACAGGGGGTATGGACCTGGCCGGAGTGCACGGAGTACAGTGTAAGGCCCAGATCCCACTGGGAAAGAGGATTGGAATGAGTGTCTGAATATGGACGTGTTTTGTAGCGATGTGCAAAAAACTGTGATATATCTGCTTTTCTGCATCTCTGCGTGCAACACGTCCATATTCAGACACTTATTCCAATCGTCCTTGCCAGTGTGATCTGGCCCTTAGGGACACCGGACCCGTTTCCCTGGCCGGAGTGCACGGAGTAAGTGCAGGAAGTACTCGTGGTTTAATTAAGGGCCTCGTTGCATTACTGGGTCTTTTTGGTGGCACCTGTAGGCTGTTGCCAACTTGCCACGATGTACCACCTGACAAGAATCGCAATTATAAGCCCGAGAAACTAGACTAAGTCTGACACAGTCACAATACCCACTCCACACACCCACCCACTTCGCTACGGAGACCCAATGGCATGACTGCTAGTACGGTCCTGACCCTGCCAGCCTCGATCCTCCTGAACGGAGAGCTTAGCAAGGCTGTCTCGTGTGTGTGTGGGGGGGGGGGGTGACGCCATTCTTTGCTTTGAAGCGTCTCTCAGTCGGTTTGAACCTTTTGTTATTATGTAATAAAAGTTGGTCAGACAAACCTTACCAATACCAATACCATTATTGCATTGTGTGCTTGTGTGGATTAACTCGTTCAGTGCTTTTTTTTTTTTGTTGGCCAACCATTTTGTGAGTCAGACTCGTTTGTTTTCTGACTTATCCGTTTTCTTCACTTACCCGGTTTGTCCCTTCTGTTATTATTATTATGTAAGAAAAGTAGGTAAGATGGACCCTTACTGGTACCATTATTCTGTGTGTGTGTGTGTGTGTGTGTGTGTGTGTGTGTGATCTGCGATTTTTTTTTTTTTTTGGTTATTTTTTTTGGTTGTGTTGCAGCAGTCCTTTGCGCTTGTGAACAAGAAGACAGGTGTTGCACTACAGGCAAATGGAGATGGAGCCAACTTGTCATCATCGAAGTCCCAGATCCGTGGTAACCCATCCCCATCTCAACTCTTCCAGTTTGGTAATCACATAGGGGAGGGGTATGTTCCCATCCACTGTGCAGATGACAGGAATCTGGTCATCAGTCTCAGCAAGGAGAATGCTGCTAATCTTGTCGAAGTCAAGTGTGAAAGATGGCGAACGGGACTGCATCAGGTAAGGCTGTATGGCCGCATTCCTTTCCTTCCTTTTTTCTTCTTTTTTTTTAACCCTCCTTGCTCATGGCGGACCATTTCTACGTATGACTGGATACTACACTTCTATATGCATGCGTGTCTGGATATAATATGTATGTGCTTTTGCATCTGGCTGTGCTCACCTTCCAGGTGCATGTGTGTGAAGTTTTGTTGAGCTTCTTCTGCAGACACAAAACTCCGTGCAACACAAAAACCGAAACATGGCCTTGACCCTCCTGTTGAAATCTTCTCTCTCTCTCTCTCTCTCTCTCTCTCTCTCTCTCTCTCTCTCTCTCTCTCTCTCTCTCTCTCTCTCTCTCCGCCCTCTCTGTATGTGCATGCATGTGGGCATGGGCGTATTTTCAACTTGGCATCTGTCTGTAAGGTTCTAAGGGACAGTGAAGGAAACTTTCTTCTTCTTCTTCTTTTCTTTTTCTTTTTTTTAAGAGAAATCCAGCGACCACTACTAGAGGGGGTGATAAGAGCAGCCGCCTCTACTGGCTGTTCCTGGCTGCTCCATCTATTGGTGGGGAGCTGCACCTGCTGGAAACCGGGTCCAGTGTCCCTGTATAACAAGATCATCCACAAGAATGTTCGAGAGCAGACCACCAGCATTGATTACCCCAGGGTACCCAGGGGGATTGACTGAGCGGTTAGGAAGGTTGAGGAGACCGTGACAGAAGTGCCTCTTCACCCCTTGAGCAAGGGGCCTCGTCTATCCTGGTGTATCTTCTTTTTTTTTTTTTTAACTCCGCCCGTGTCAACGGATAGGAGTGATGACAGTGAAGGAAATATCCAACTTGATTGCACTTGAAGTCCCATAACGTCACGCACTGCCAGCCGTTGGTGTTCAAAAAAGGCTGCCCACTTTTCAGGCTAGGAGGCCTGCCAGATCCACGATCCAACCAACACAGGGGTTTCTTTTTTTTTTTTTTTTTTTTTTTAAGAATGGCCCTTGCGATATCCCTCTATCCTGGCGGTGGTAAGAGAACCGTCTGGATTGAGGGCTTACCTGTAGGGCTGCTCCATCTATTGGTGGGGAGCGGCACCTGCTGGAAACCAGGTCCAGCGTCCCATGGGTACATAGTGTAGCGCTGAGATTGGTGTTTGTTGTTCCCTGGGGCTATGGTTGTTACTGACTCATCCTGGGGCTCCATGATCCCATGGAGCTGCTGGTATCACCCTGGGGTTTCTGATGACCAAAAGGGTTTGAAATTCATGCTCTGGTGTGTGTGTTTTTTTCTTCTTCACAGGGAAGGACTGTTTATGTGCCTGAAACAGTTCACTTCTGTTTCTCCGCTGCAGTGTTTGCTGCACGCAGCATGTCATTGAGTGATTTGAGGCAAGGGGGGACAGTTTGTCCATCTTTCGTTTTTATTTGTCCCCTGTCGCGATTTTTTTTTTTTTTTCCTGTTGCGATTTTGTACAGGGCCCTTTTTTCTTTTTTTTTTAAATCGTCAGAACAGATAGTACACTTGAACTTAGCCAAAAGGCCGAGAAAGGTATATAACAGGGGCCAGTGTTGCACGTCCCGACCATGGGCGGCCCTTGACTGGTCAGCACCTTCCGGTCGGGGTCGCCCGCACCCTGCACAAAAAAAAGAAATAATAATAAATAAAGGCATGGCCTTTTTGGACGAAATCTTTGTGTTGTGCCCCTGTCAGGAGGGTGTGCAACTTTGCAATCTGGACCTCCCCGTTTGGGCCTTTTGCAATAGCCTTAGGAAAAGTTGGCAAGTACTGGGGCATTTTGCAAAGTTGGACGGTACCGGGTAGGGGTATATTGCAAAGATCGGAGTCCAACTGACGCTAGGGGCATTTCACAAAATGTTTTATTTGTGAGAGGGGTATTCTGCTCTACCCACATCTTTTAGGGGCATTTTGGCATATATCTCAACTTATGGGTGTCTTTTGCAAATTATCCCATAGATAAAAAAATAAATCTTTTTTTGGGTCCAGAACCGCTAATAACCCCAGCAACACGGCTGTGATGTATGATTACTGGCGCGCGCGCGCGCGAGAGAGAGAGAGAGAGAGAGAGAGAGAGAGCAAACAAATAGCCCTTTCACATTAAGAAAACCCCTGCGGGTAATCCTAGAGGCCCCTGCAAATGATCAGCAAGGGCCTCCTGTCCACGAAAGTGGCACTTCTTGAACACATTGCAGGGCAGCAGCTCGCCAACTATACGTGGCGTAGATTCGCATTAAGGTCCGTGTTTCAGCAGTTACGGAATGGGGGCAGTAGCAGGCCAACTCACCACAGGATTTTCAGGGCTTCCCTCCACTACTCACCAAATGTGCAAAACTAGAATGAATCTTCTGCTTGAACATGGAATCATATGTAGCCATATGTTTTGTGAACTTTTGTCTTTTGTGCAAGTGGTGACCAGTGGAGCCAGGCTCTTAGGGCCACTGCTGGTAGGAAAAGGAAAACAAAAGGAAGAAAGAGAGAGCTACGGCAGTAAGTAGTTGTAGCCCATAACTGCTGGAACACAGACCTGAATTCGGATGCAGAAGATATATTGCTGGCCTGCTCCTCACTTATGATTTTCGTCGAGTATCTCCGCTGGTATCTCCGCTGAGATACTAGAGCCCTGCAGATTCTCTGCTGTGGGCCCTTCAGAAAGAAAGCTATATTCAACAAGGAATACGGGCCCTAATGTCTTTTTCTCTGCCCTTGAAATCTGTAAAAGGGAGGGACACGTCTGGCTACCTCAGCCACCCCGAATACCCCTATACACCTCAACACCTCCAAACCGCCCACCAAACCCTCATTACCCCTATATCCCCAAAAGTTTCTCAGCGGATTTGGGCTGCACTCAGCAAGCGCAGTACAGCCCCTAACTCAGATTTGAAAAAACATCAGTGGATGGCTGTTTTCTGACTGGTCGGCAGACTGGCGATCAGTAGGCCCTATTGGTCGGCTGCAAAACGGTCGGCGGTGGGCAGGCATGCAACCCTGACAGGGGCCTTATTTTGGACCCCGCCCCCGCCCTCCCCCTCTTGACTCCATTCTTTTTTTTTCCCTTTTTTCGGTTCCCTGACTTGGTTCTATTCGGTCTGCCCATCGTCGTAACTTCCATGCAGAAGCAGAACTGTTAAACCCCTTGCTTTTTTTTTTTTCCCCTCAAACCACCAGTACCTTGCCCACACAAACTTTAGAATCTAAATTGCGTCACTCCAGTCTCCACGTTCTTCCTTTTCGTTTTTTTTTTTTTATTTTTTTTATTTTATTTTTTAATGAGAAAGAAAACTTCATATGCGGGAAGACCACTTAACGAGGTGATAACAGCAGCCTCGTTAAGTGGTCCCAGCGTTGAAGGGCCCCGTTTATTGGGGGGAGCTACACTTGCTGGAAATCGGGCCCACTGTCTCTTTTTTTTTTTTTTTTTTTTTTTTTTTATTTTAAGCCCAGGGGTGTTTAAGGGGGCAGGGACCCAACCCCAAGGATTTGCTGTACCCGCAGTGAATGGTTGTCCTGACAGGATAGGCCACCTACCCTACCCATCCCCACATTAATACTCCCAGCGCACCCTCTGTCCCTACTATCTACCTCAGTGTGACCAGCACTCAGGAGCATCACCCTACGGTCCCTTTACATCGATGTATGAGAATGATTATGTCACGGGGCTATGTCATGTGTCCAAAACTGTGAGAAAGCAGGAGGCATTGCTTACTTCCCTGGACCGGGGAAGGATTGACAGGCATTGATTACTTCCTGGACCAGGGATGGATTGGCAGGATGGCAGGACCTCTTGCCAATCCATCCACAAGGCAACGCTTGTTTCCATCAAGCACCCCAGTGAGCAACCCAATTTACCCACAAACCCCTAAGCAACCAGCATCCTACCCGGGGAACAATCCAGAGCACAAGATAATGGGGATAAATACAAATATCCGATTATGGATTTAGTGAAATATTTAACATTTTCAATGATTCTTTTTCTTTTAGGTATTTGGGGAATCTTTTTAAATAGAAAGAATATCCTTATTATGTTAATGTCAATTGAGTTAATGTCAATTGAGTTAATGTTACTTGCTGTCAATTTGAACTTTTTAGTCTTTTCTGTTTATCTAGATGACATGATGGGTCAATTATTTGCTTTATTCGTATTAACTGTAGCTGCTGGAGAATCTGCTATTGGGCTCGCTATTCTTGTTATTACTTTTCGAGGCTGGCCAACCCTACTAAATGAAAGGCCCATCATCTTATACCCCCCCCCTCCCTCATCTGACACAAAATGGAGAGCGGAGTAATGGGAGAGACTCCACACTAAAGAGGGGGGAAAGATAAGAGTCCGCTATCAACCTCAGACTCCAACCCCCAACCACCCACTCCAGGTTCTCCGAGAGAAGGTTAACCGACCCCCCAATTTTCACCCTCATTTATAAGAAAACCAAAGGGTCATTTTAACCATACTTTACACCAATCTTAACCTACCCCCCAATTTTCACCCTCATTTATAAGAAAACCAAAGGGTCATTTTAACCATACTTTACACCAATCTGTAGATTGCATTTCTTACTAACATATTGTAGGGGTGAAAAGTGAGGGTATTACCGGACAAAAATGGCTGGCGGCACCAGCCAAAAAAGGAAAGAAAAAGTGTGCTGCTGGAGGTTTGGTTTTCATTGGCGTGCAGTGCAAATCCAAGTCAGGAGAAACAGCCTCAGAGGTACACCTATGGTTTAAATCACCAGTACACGGCCATACATCGGCATCAGGAAAAAGAGGCTTGGAGGTACTCGTGGTTTAAACCACCAGACTGAGTACACAGCCATACATCGGCAGCGGACCCCTGACTACGACTTTCGGAGGCCGGAAATCCGACCCAGCCCCGGGAGTTGCGGTGGTGGGGACAAGTTCATTTTTTCCAAGGCTGGGGCCATGTACTGGCGGTTTAAAAAGCGTTTTTCATCACCTGATTACTCTACAAGGCTCAAGGTTTCACATTCAAAAACTTTGCACCAATGTGGAGCCT